GCTCTTCCTGGGATTTTTTCTTTCATCCAGCTGCTGATCAGACTGTCACGAGCCGGATGAATTTCCCAGCTCCAGGTCTTGGCAATTAAATGAGCGTGGGGGGGCGGGGAGCAACATTTCCATGCACCATGTTGGAGCTACCGCCCGCTCCAGCCCTGTTCTGTCAGAATTACTATTAATACCCCCCAAAAATATTTGTGTTAGAAACCAAAAGGTTTACATAAACAGACACTTTGGAAACAGTTTCTAAGTGATGAGAACAACAGTTTTAGCTGATCCGTCACGACTCACCTCATGGATTAGACATTTGTCTATGAGCTGTAAATAGGAACTTATATTCTCTTCGTCGGGTCGGGAAACTAAAAGTTGTGTGCATACTGGAAAAAAAAAGAGAAGAGAAGAGAAATGGGCATGGGGACACCGAGCTGGGGCCCAGGAGGGTCCAATGAACGCCCTGGATGACCCATTTCCCTTGTCCCACTGGTGAGTCTTCTCATCAGCAAGAAAAAAGGTCCTTCCCCAATTCCTGCCGTGCTGTCCTATATTTAGGGCCAGATTTTGTTCTCTGTTACATTGGTATAAATCCAGAGAACACCACTGGAGTCACCAAAATTAGACCTGAGCAAATCAGGGGCACAGGATTATTCCCTTTTCCTAGGCAAGAGCCGGCACTGGGAGAGCTCCTGCTCCTACAGCCAAAATTTGCCCCTGTTGCAAACAGATTCCCACTGATCCCCATGGATTTCAATCTCTTTTGGAATGAATGCCATAAAAGCAAGTGGAAATTGAGTTCACAGAAAAATGTGTCTTTCCTGTTGTAACCCCCCGGCAGGGATGCCTTGCGGTCCAGGACACCTTGTCCTGGCCAGGCTTGTGTCATGCGTACAGTGTGTGTGTCATACGCACAGCTTCGTGCGTGACGGAGGCATTCACCACGGGCTGAATTCATCAGCATGTTTAAAATGGGGCCATAAACCCATGTTTGCCTGTGCCTGCAGTCAGTTAGCTGGTGTGAGAAATCCTGCACCAAATTTTTATATAGAAAACATCTATTTTTTTGCAAAAAAGTTCTGAAATTGGGACAGGGCTGATATTTCTCTGTGGCATCCCAATGAGTTTCCTTCTGTTCCTGGTCTCCTGTGTGATCCTCCAGACGAGATTCCCCTCCCCTCTTCCCCAGGGAGATCTCCCTCCACGCAGCCAGCACCGACACCTCAAATCCCACCCAGGGGAGGTAGGACATGTCTAAACTCATACAAATTTGCTCAAAGAGCCCTGTATGTGCCACAGGAGGTCGATTTCTACCTTGCATCGCTCCTGTGCACCTCCCAGTGTGTTAATCCTGATGTAAAACCCTGTGCCCCACCATGGAATGGCACCTGAATATTTTGGATGTCCTCCATCTAAATTGGGACTTAAAAAGGGGCTTGGACTCAGCTGATTTGCACACGTAGCTCACGCTAAGCCCACACACTAGTGCTATCCCCTCACAAGAAGAGCAAGTCCGAGGGATGCTGCTGAAAACACCTCTGGAAGCGGTGGGATGCTCCCAGGGCTCTGAATGGGAAGGGATGGGATGCTATCCGTGCCTGACCTGGGGCAGGCAGCCCGTCCCATCGCTGCCCCTTCCAAAAATAGCTGCCCACCTCCCCACCCACGCTCTTACCTCTTACACAGCACGACAGGGCCTCAAAAACTCATCACCCCTAAGACTGTGGCTTGCAGCGGCGTGGGGAAAGGCTGCTGCCAGCACCACCACCGCAGGCGCCCTGCCCCGCAGCGAGGACACCGACAAGTGACAACCGCTCACCTTTCCCCATCACTCTGGTGAACTGTCCGGGCAGGTCGCCTTCGGGCAAAGGGGCCCCCCCCGACTCGCCCTCGCAGCCCGGCAAATGGTGCTGCTGCATCCCCCCCGCGGCAGAGTCCTTGCAGTCAGAGCCTTGGGCGTCTGAGCCGATCAGGGAGGAGGGGTGATGCGAGTCCACGTCCCGGCTGCGCTCCTCCGCGCTCGAGTTTTGGGAAGAGTAGGCTTTGATGGGGGTGAGGATCATTTGGTGTAGTTCCTGTAGTGGGACGCGCAAGTTGCCACCTTCCAGGATGTCCTGTGGGTTCAAGTGGAGAGAAGAGAGTTTGTCTCTGCAGGGACGACAGGATGTCGGCTACAAACCAGACCCCTTCCGCTACCCCCCCTGCACTGAGTACTTTGCTTAGACCAGGGGATTGTGGAGCTGCTGCAGAGACTGTGCCTGATTATCCATGGAAGTGTTCAGACCTGAATCCCCAGGGATAAACGTGCCCCGTCAACCACTGGGACCCAAAACCAGCAACAGTCTAGATTCAGTGTTCCCAAACTTCCATCAGGAAGACGCAAACCTCATGTGAACAGCTCACCCCATGAGATTTCAGTGCCCAGACCAGTGAGTATCTCACTCCTTCCCCAGCAATCCCACAGTTGTGACATTTCAGCCCTATTTAATTTCAATTATGTTTTTTAACATGGGCGTGTATCCAGTTTCCGGCCCTGCTTTCAAGCTGGGCTCTCCATAACTGCTCTTCCCCAAAGAGCTTGCAATAGCATCCTCATGCCCTGGGACCATCGCAGAGCCCAGCACCACGCTGGGACGCAGGAACCCATCCTGCAGCAGCGGCGCGGGGATGTTCCCATCCCTACTGGGATGCCCTGGGCGAGCGGATGCAGAGGGGAAAGGGAGGGTCTCAAGGGGAGCAGGGTGGGTTGCGGTCGGACACAGAAGGGGAGACCACAAGGCTGCAGGTGAATTTATATCCCTATAGCAAAAATATTTGGCTTGGAGATCCGAGGGGAGGCCCACCTGGGAGGGAAAGGATTTGGGTACACCCAGCCTTGCTCTCAGTTATGAGTATGGATCATCCCTTTCTACAGGGCATCCTGTAGAATCCTCCCCCCACATTGAAAAGCTGATGGGAAATAATTGCATTTTGTTTTTAACGGAGCCTGGACCAGAACAGCTCATCGCAGGCTCCTGCAGGGTCTGCTTGGTTGGACACCGCTTGGACAGAGGGGTGAGTCCCGACTGCGCCTTGGGAGAGACACAAAGTGGGCGCGCAGCCTGCGCACAAGCCGGATGGAGCCCTGAAATGGTTTTTCACCCTAATCCCTGCTGCACCCCCAGCTTGCTCTTGGACATCTTAGCTCCACTTCTCTTGAAGACCTGGCGTCAGTCTGCTGGGAACCATTTTTTTTTGGAAAAAATCCTGCTCTAACCAGTGGAGAGGGGTGGAGCAGCTCTTTCCATGAAAGCAGCAATCTTTAGCAGCGAGACACTGCCCAAAAAATCAAGTCCCACACATGCTCTTGTTTAGCAAAAAAAAAAAAAAAAAATTGGATGAGAAGCCTGGGAAACCAGAGACGTCTCCTCCCAAGTAAAGCAGCTCACAGGCAGCTCTGAGCCCCAGCAAAGTGGGACACAGTCAGAGCCCCACAGCCCAAACCCACCCCATGAGGGCTCAAAAGCAGCCCCTGCCACTTATCTCCCCTATTTTACAGCATGCCTGGCTGGTTGTGTCAGCTGAACCGGGCTTACCCTCCCGCACCACGACAGTCAATCAATACCATATTTCAAAACCCAGGCGGAGAAGCCAGGGAAAAGGCTGTGCAATCGCCTGGAAAACACATTGCTGAAGCAAGCTCAATCCAGCAGGCTGTCTCTTGGATTTAATAGTTATTATTAATATACGGAGGTAAATACAGCTTTATTAGCGCCTGCCATACTCCGAGTACAATCCCATATTATAAATAAATAGTGAAGCAGTGAGCTAACAAAAACACCAATAAATAGCAACACACCACATAAGTATTTAAAAGCCCCTAGCGGGAGGCTCTGCAAGTTGCTGTGTGAAGACGGTGCAATTTAATATAATGTAATATTGCGATAATAAATAGCGAGAGGTTGGGTGAGCTGCTCCCAGCCGGTCTGCGGTGCTGGTGCTTCTCTGACAGCCGTTTCTGCAGAATTTAAGCTTTTGCGGAAGGGACAAAGAAGTTTCTATTTGTTCTTCTTAGAAATTCAAGCTGTTGTTCAGGCACTGATGTGGGAGTCTGGCTTTTTATCTGGGGACAGATTGCCTGTATGATGCTCCAGAAAAGCGCACAGGCCCTTGACCTGACAGACACCGGGAAATCTCATCTCGTTTTGGGGATGGAGAGGTAAGGGCAGGGTTCGAGGGTCCCCATGCTGACCCCATGCATGGAGGGGTCTCTTGAGAGGGACAGTGGCATCGAGAAGGGAGAGAGAATCAAGTGGCTGAGGGATAACCAGGGGTTAAAGGCTCTACCCAGCTGGTTCTCCAGCAGCAGAGAGAACCGTGATGGCTGGTGCAGCTAGAGCTGGTCCTGCACCACGGCTCAGCAGATGAGCAACTACCTTCCCATCGGTGTCGCTGGGATGGTGCCCTCCATCACTGGAAGCTCAAGTGTTTCTGAGCACCCTGGAGCTGGCCAGGGCTCGTACCAGTGCTGCAGGGTATACCCATCCCAGCTGCGTGAGGGCCGGAGATGGATTGGGACCCACTCTGCAAAATATAGCCCCAAATAAAACCTGCATCTGGTACAGAAGTGTTTGAGACATCATTCCAATGCGGCCAAGCCAACAACAGATTTCCCTGCAAAAGATCCCAATGACCTGTGTAACCGAAGAGTGCTTTACCCCAAAACTAATTCCTGTCTTCTTGAAAAAGAGGAAATACAAAAGTTGTTGTGATTACTTACCCTTTCTAAAGATTTGAGCAGGTTTTGTCTTTCTTTTAGCTTTTGGATACTGATGACTATTTTGTGTCTTGCGCCTTTGGTAACGTTCTGCAAACAACCAGCACAAAACCTGGAGTTAACATTTTCACACAACAGCCCTGTCAGCCCAAATCCTTCCTCCCCAAAACGAAAAGGGCTGCTATAAATTAAGCAAATTTCTGAGCACAGGGATTGGGGGGGAGCATAGAAAATCACTTAGAGACTTGCTGAAGATAGAGAATTCCAGCTAGTCTGTGTGTGTCCCCAGGACATCTCACACAGTGCCAGCACAGGTGCTGGCCAGCCCCCTTCATCCCGAGGATACTGCAGAGGTACATGTGAAAGTGGAGACATTTTCAAAAGTTAACAAGGCACCGAGACCCCACTGACTTTACAGGAGTTGGATACTGCAGACTGTGTCCCTGAAACTCCTGAACTTAATCCCAGCTGGAAAAAAAACCCAAGCACAGCTTGCTGTGATGGGACTTTCATGCTGGGACTCCAGTTAAGAAATCTGGGACAAGGCCTTTTTCAGGTACAATGTGTTTTTTTTCTCCCCAAGACCCAATTTTCCTTCCTCTGCTTGCTTTCCAACCACCTGCGGGCAAAACACCTTCCGCGTGAAGATGCAAAAAGGCGTTGGAGGTGCCCCATCTACCGATGCACAAGCATCAGGACCGCGGCTGATCCCTTTACGACCGATGTGGGACATACTTGTGCCTCGAGCTGGCATTCGGTGAGGGCCATCATCTCCTCGTACGTCATCTGTGAGAAGAGGGCGGCGTACTTGTGCAGCCGGAGGCTCTTCAGCCAGGCTGGGACATCTGCAGCACAAAGGTAATGAGATGAGAGCTCTCGTTGAGCTCGTGACACCGCTTAACCACGCACGTAGCATCAACAGCAACACGAGGAGCTGATTAGCTGCCATCCACCATCCCTCCGGTGCTTCAGACACCTTACTGAACTTCACAGACCTTTTGGAGGACATAGTGCGACGGATATTGATAGTAGGAAGAACCAGCCCCAGGATGAAGACACGTCCTCAGAGGTTGGGTTTCTGCAGCTGAGCTGCCGGCATTAGCCTACAGGGAGTCGGCATCGCGCCACTGCACAGGCAAGCTCCTCGCTGCCCTTTTCCCGGGAACGCGGGAACCACTGAAGCCAGCAGTGTGGTTGAGCTTAGGATGAGCAAATGGCTGGTTTGCAGATGGCAGACACTGATTTATGGCATGAAGGAAGATGGTACACGCTGAAAATTTAAGTTTCTCTCAAAGAGAAATGGATTTTTTTTTGAGCATGGAAAAATGACATGCCATTGAAGATGGTCCCACAACCTGTTTCAGAAGGGTGACTTGGGACCTCAAAATGCACCAACTGAAATGACTTCTGCCTTCCCACTCGTTATCTGCAGTGTAGGACCTCTGTGTCTGGCTGGATGGATACCCAAAAGTACTTTTATCCTCCTGACATCAATGTGGTCTCACAGGGAAGGACCTGGGAGGGGGATCCTTCCTCTGCAACATGCAAAACCCCACCAGACCCCTTGATGGGGTGTCCTCCACGGAGAAGGCAATGGGATATGAGACTCCCCTGCTCCACCCTGCTCAGGGCTTTGCAGGTTTGGGGGGCCCGTGGTGACACCCCACGAGGGAGCCGGAGGCCCTGCAGATATCTGCACACCGCAGTGCCCATGATGACGCTTTTGCTTTGCATCCTAAAGGCTTCAAATGCTGTGCCAAATCAGGACCTGCTTTATTTGGCACCTACAACCCGGCAATGGCTCTGTCTTAGCCTCCCGAGCGGCCACGCTCTGCTCCCAGGAGTACCCTTGTCTATTAGTCCTCATCACGCTCCCCACCAGCGAGACACCCGGGAGCCCCATCTCAACCCGCACCGGGTGCAGCAACAGTGAAAAAACAGTGTTTCAGCCCCAAACCCCACACCTTGAGTGGAGGGAGCAGGTGGAGGCTCAGGAAGTGTCTCTTTTGGGGCTAAATACAAACTAACAGTGACATTTCCCCTCTCTTTGATCATTCCTGAGTCTATGTAAAGGGGTATGTGTCACAGAACCACGGAATGGTGGGGGGGAAGGGACCCCTGAAGATCATCTGGTCCAACCCCCCAGCCAAGGCAGGGTCACCTAGCGCAGGTCGCACAGGAACGCGTTCAGTCGGGTTTTGAAGGTCTCCAGAGAAGGAGACTCCACAACCTCTCTGGGCAGCCTGTGCCAGTGCCCCGTCACCCTCACAGTGAAGAATTTTTTCCTCATGTTGAGGTGGAACTTCCTGTGCTGCAGTTTGTGCCCGTTGCCCCTCGTCCAACCACTGGGCGCTACTGAAAAGAGCCTGGCTCCCTCCTCCTGACAGCCACCCTGCAGATATTGATAGACATCGATAGGGTCCCCTCTCAGCCTGCTCTTCTCCAGACTAAATAGCCCCAGGTCTCTCAGCCTTTCCTCATACGAGAGGTGTTCCAGGCCCTTAATCATCCTCGTAGCCCTCCGTTGGACTCTCCCCAGAAGTTCCCTGTCTCTCTTGAACAGGGGAGCCCAGAACTGGACACAGTACTGCAGATGAGGCCTCACCGTGTGTCAAGTGGGTGGTGGACCCCACGTCCCACGGCAGGCAGGGGCTGATGCGCAGGAGAAGGAGCGATGGCTGGCAGCAAGGCTGCACCGATGGGGTTCCTCTGCCCAACATGCCCACCAAGGGATGAGGAGGAATGGGGGCTTGTACCGTTTCTGGGAGGGATTTCTACCCATTATGTGCTTCTGCTGCCAGGCTGGGGCTGCTGTGGGTGTTGGTGCTCTGCTCACCACTCCTGAAGCCAGCATGAGGACAACCTTCACGGCCATGGCCAATAACCTTCACTACTGGAGCCAACCTCAAAGGTTTTCTAGGCTGATCCGACTGCGAAGTGTGAGGCCAGACTTGCTTCAGAAAGGGATGAGATGATGCGAGGAGGACAGTCCCACTGCTGGGACATCCCGCCGTATGGGTGGTCTCTGTCCAGCGGCCCCATGCCGCTGAGTGCCAGATGCAAGTCAAGGATCACCACAGACCTCTTCCCAAACCAGCACCTCGTTGCTGGAGGGAACAGGGCAAGTTGGATGATTGCTTTGGGCCCCTAAGGCAATTTCTTACATCTGCCAAAAGTCTCCTGCTGCCCACTGCCCCGCCTGACCCCAAACCCCACTCGCATCCAAGCAGAGGATGCAAATGGCCCCAAAATGCTGCATTTTGCTCACACCCTCTGACCTCTGACACACATCAGGATTTGAGTTTCAATGAAATTCCTCAAATACTGCACAGAAGGAGATCAGCCCCACATGAAACATGGGGCCAAAGCAGTTACTGAGCACAGACAGGCTGAACTTTGCCATTTTCCCGAAGTCCTGACATGCAACAGTTCTAAAACCTGCTACCAGAGGCCTCTTAAACCAATCTTTCTTTAAAAAAATTAACAGCTATCAGCAGAAAGCACTCTGTTTCCAGCACGGGACTGGCAGGCTCAAATCTCAACTTAATTTTAACACAAAACCACATCATTTTAGTGACGACACATTAAATGTCTACCTGATCCCGTGTCCCTGGGGGACATCTGCCTTTCACACGAATCTGTGCCGATGGCAAAGCCCACGGGGGTGCTTTCAGAAGAGAGATGCAACTTCATATAGACATTAAACCCTGCAGAAAACCCACCTCCGACCCTTGCGGAGAGTCAGAGTGCAGAAACAGCTCTTCTCTCCCTTTGCATCAGTCTCCCTGGACCACCTCCTAATTTTGGGGAGCTACAACAGTCCCAGAGCCCCCATGCCAGCGGGGATGGCAAACCCAGGAGCAGGCTGGGGAGAGGGAGCCAGCCCAGCCCAGAGGGACGGTGGTAGGGCTCTCCCCCTTCCCATAGGGAAGAGGCAACCAGGAGGTGCAAGGTCATCTAAGGCAATTTCATGGTTTTTGGAAAGTCAAACTTCCAAAGGATCCCCACGGAGCAGCGAGCCACCCGCCTGTGGAGCTACTCTTTAATCACTGATTACCAGGAGCTAATTGCTGTCAGAAACACCGCGTCCGATGTGAGCAGCAAACCGAGGGCTTCCATGCTGCTCACATACATTGTCCCCTCTGCGCATTAAACGCCGGAGTTTGGCCGGCACACGTTTATCTGGGTGCTGGTGTGGAAACACAGAAGGAATTTAGAAGGAAAACAATTCACCTGCCATATATATATACAGGCCAAAGTATGCATAGGACGTCTTCAGAAGTGCCCTTGCGGCACACCATGCCATGCCATGGATGTACTTGCAGCAGAAATCCCCAGCTGTACCCAAACCCTCCTCCTGGTGCGCCCCGAGGTGTGCCCTGGGAAAGGACAGACGGACGGACGGACAGATGGGCTCCGCAGGGAACAAAGTGTCCGTGTCTGCCCCTGGAGAAACCAGGAGCTGGGAAAAAGCCGAAGGGCCCTTTTCCTTCAGCATGAAAATAGATGGAAAGGAGAGAAAGAGGTGTCATCAGGGTATGAAGATAGATGGAAAGGAGAGAAATAGGTGACATTAGGGGAGATGAACCGCTAAGTCATGTTGGATGGGGGTCTGTCGGGAGTCTGGTTTCCCCACTGCCCTCCTGGATGCCCTGGAGAGTGTTAAAGAGGGAGCAAGCTGACCGGAGGCGTGGGTGACACCAAGCCACAAGAGCCCGCAGGCGCTCGGGGAGATGTGGCTGCAGTTCAGAGAAGGGACTTGGCAAACCGAGCAACCGGTCTGGATGAAATAAGATGTGACCCAATAAAAATGCACAAATTGTGCATTTCTGTAGGAACAAGAAACGGCACGAACCGAGGGCAGGGAACGGGCAGTACTTTTTTTTTTCCCCGAGAAAAGCTGTGGGGATACAATGGGTCATATGCAGCACGCAGTGGTGTGTTAGTTGAGGACGATGAGCTATACAGCCACAGAAATGCTGTCTGTATGGCAAGCAAGTCTCTGCTCTGTCCCCAGGTCCAGTTTTGGGCAACATACCTTCAATAAAATACGGACTTTCTGGAAAAAACCCAGCAGAGAGAAGCAAGAACAATCCCAAGTTTAGAAAAAAACATCCGTGAAGAAAGTGTATTTGTTCAGTCTGAAGAAAATACAGCGGAGGGGGAGGACATGACAGTTGTAGACACCAGAGGCTGTAGGCATCTGTTTCGCACATCCCCGGATGGCGGGACAACAGCAATTTGGCTGACTCAGCAATGGGGTGAATCGGGTTTAGATGTTTGCAAACCTTGCCCCAGAGAAGGAGGATGCTCGGGAAGGGATGGCCCCAGGAAGGGATCCCATCTCCTACGGAGGGGCCGCATGCAGCAGCAACGGGCTGTCTTCATCCGTGGATTTTATTTAATTGATTAAATGGATTTTTTTATTTAATTGATCCGTGGAATGCCTGGGCAATAGTTCCTTTGGGTTTTGCAGATTTGGCCGTACAGATCGATTGCATTGCCCTGGCAGGTTTCTATCCACGCAGGTCCCAGACCTGCAGCCGTGGATCACAGGGAGCCAAGCTCCCCACGGTCTCCTCCCCAGCTCCATCAGCGGAAACAGCTACAGCCCACGGCCCCCACCCCAGTACGATGCTACGGTGCGAAGTCCAGGCAGGGAGAGGGCTGAGCCCCGAGCATCCACCTCACGGGGGAACCGTGAGGGGTTTTTTCATTCATGTATTTCATGCACATCCAAGTCATACAGTACCAAGGCAAACACAATTCCACATTACAGAGATTTATACTTATCTAGATTTGTCTGTAATTAGAATAAAATCAGACCTTGTGACTATTTAAGAAATACGATTGTTTCCTTATTCTGTTACGTCATCAGTCTTTACACAATAGAGTTGCTTTGCATTAATGAAAATTGCAGTTGTTTAAATCGGTCTCTGATAGCTGTGGGTTCATTTTCAGTCATTTTGCCTGTCTAGGTGTTTGCCCAGTTTTTATCTATTTATTCCTCTACAGCCTGAAGTTTGCTCTCCAGCTTTGACTGCAGCAACAGGGTTTCGTTTCTGCCTTGTTTACCAACAGGATCACATACATTCATTGCTAAGAGTCTCTGTGAAATGTGAGTGTAATGGGAAACATAACTGAAGTACACAGGATAAATTCACTGCAAACAAGTATCTTGAGCCAAAACTTCCCCAAATACTTGGTGGGTACCAAACACCGCAATGGTAAATCACACGTGGCTTGCTAAAACTATGCTAAGCTATTTTTCACCGTAATTGGAAAAAAAAAAAAAGGCAGAGAAAAAAGCACCACTCTTAGCCAAAAGCCACAGGCTATGGAAAAAGTCCAGCTTCTTGGAAAGCTGGCAGCTTGTAGGATTTTGGGGCAAAACCAGCCCACCAGCACCCAACTGTAAGACATCAGGTCAGGACCAGCAGCTGCTTAGAAGAAAACCTAACTTATTGCCCTAAGCCTAAATTCCTAAGCTGGGAAGAAACGCCGAAAGGCCCCATTTGGTTATGGGAACTCTCACCCAAAACCGCCGACCGAGCCCCGCGTTGCCGGGAAAATGGCTTTTCCCCTCCTGCCTCTGGGTGCTGGGTGTAGGGAGGGGGGGAAGGCATCTGGTTTTTCACTCACCTTTCATCCCACTCCCTTCCTCCTGGAATGTGTTACGAGCGGAAGGCTGATCTTCTAAATGTTCACTCCCACCACTTCCCGAAGAGGCTACACTGCTTTGTGGAGACAGGGGGGCATGATCGGAAGGGATGCACTGGGGTCCTCTAGCTCGTAAGTCCTCATGAGACATCCATCCATGTCCTAGAGGTTGGTTTGGCACATTCATGGGTGGGGTAAGGGACACAGAGCGTTTCAAAGGGCTGTGGTGTGTCTGGCCTGAGAGAACTGAAAAAAAAAAAAAATTAAAAAAAAAAAATCAAAGAGGTTATTCCCCCCTCGCGGCCCGGGATGCAGCAGAGTCCCCCGAAAAAAAATTAAATGAAATCATAGAATGCGTGGTGGTTGGCCACGGTGCCTTGCCGATGGCTTCGCGGTGCCTGCAGCTACCTGAACCCTACCCTGAGCTCTCCGCTTTGCCTGCCAGGAGATGGGGTTACACGAGCCACGTCGGGTTGCGTAAGGAAAGGTGTTGCGTGGATTGGATCTCTAGGCAAAAAGAAAAAAAAAAAAAAAATCGAGCAGCTCTAAAGGTTTTTCCCGTGCGGAGACAGGTACCAGCAGCAAACCTGAGCATGGGACCGTGCTGGGTGCTTGGCTGCTGCCTCTCGCCACTGCTGGAGCCCGGTGGTCACCTCCCTTGCAGGGAAGGCACCGCTGCTCCTCCAGGGGTGACGGGCATTTTCAAGCGACTACACTGAGGCCATGAAACTCGCCCTGCTAAAATGACCCAGACCTGTATCTTTCTGGGAAAGGCATGAAAACCCCCAGGGTGGGATGTCCTCACACAGACCCAGGGGAAGCGTCTCTGTCTCTCCCTTGGGGTTAGGACTTGGCTTATGCCCCGAAGCACGAGCATTTACACGTCTGCCTAAGGTCATCACAGAGGTACCTATTATCCACATATATGTCTAAGCCTTTTTGAGCCCTGCTAAGATCTTGCACCGAGTTGAGCGATCAGCAGTAACAGAGCACCCCAGCTCCGCCACCCGAGGCACGCGCCGGTCAACCCTCCGCAAAAGCAAACACCCAACGCAACGGTAAAAACACACCCACGACAAAGAGGTGAGGCTGAGTCGTCCCCCCAAAAACATTATCTTTGGGTTTGTTTTTCCATGTGTTTGTATTTCCTGGCTGAAATTTTGAAACCATCAAGTTCAATTTGTTTTTACCAAATAACTTTAACACCGCTGGGAAAAGAGCGATGCACCAGCTCCTGTGATTTGGAGTTATTTTTTAAGAAAGGCTTTACAATGGGTGGGTGCTTACTTGCCTTTCAGTCACGTAGAGAAATATGCCCTACGAACACTAAAGTATTAAAGCCCCCAAATCCTAGATTTTCTGACACTTTTTGGTAGAAGTGTTGAGACCTGAATAGACTTTTAAATACAGGTTTTACTGAATGGTCTCCATTTTTCACTGCTCTTCTTCCATACTGTCTCATTAATTTTTAGTTATCTCCTTAAAGATTTAGGTATCTTTTTCCTGGGTCTCTTGGTTAGCAGGGGTAATACATGGTATTTAGAGGAAAAGACAGATATAGACGAAGTATCTTTGTTTCCTGTAATGAAAAATATATGAAAAGATCGGTCTGTTGGCTTAACAAAATTCAAATTCCATCACTCACAAAGTCATTAAACTGCTGGTTAAACCATAAATGCAGTTAATGTATTTTAATGTACGGATTTCGGATATAAAACACTCATTTAATGTTTTCTTGCAGTTACTCTCAATGAAATCAGTTGGACTTCATGGGGGCTGTTTCCTGATAACCGAGACCAAAATAATCTCTGAATTTTGCCATTGCTCAGCTCATCGCCCGCTGGGATAGGGATAACTGGGACAAGTTCTGGATCCAGGGCTGTGGGAAGGGCTCTTCTGGTTTGCACCCAACCCAAGTCAACGCCGCTCCTTTCAATGCGCCCCTGGGTATAGATGTGGGGTTCGCATCGTGAGGGCTAACAAAACATCTTGCTCGGGTCGGCTAACAAGGACCCCTTTCTAGGGACGAGTGCAAATTCTGCAGAAAGCAACTAATTTCTCAAAATTAGCGGCTGTAAGCTTCATCGAGGGGTAGATGAAATGAAAAGCAGATTTTCTGCTCCAGGGAAATTTAAGGGGAGAGGGGTTAAAATGACCTTCCAGTAAGACTGAAGCAAAAACTTTTCAATTTTTCTGTCAAAATTGAATTTCTTAAATCTGTATAAAAATCCTGGGGAAATTAATAATTTTTGTTGCTTTTCCCTCTGAAGCTCTGACATGAAGCTCCCTAATGCCCTTTTTCCACTGGTAGGAGTTAAGCAAAACCGCTCACAGCTCCTCCATGTGTTATTTCCTAATACAAACAAGTTTTGCTGGAAAACTCCCAGCCAGGTGCACCATGCTGTGAAAGTTAAGCCAGGTTTAATTCCCAGCTAAAGCCTGGGGGAAAACCCACCATCAAAGCCATCTCTGCTGACCAGAAGCAGAATGAAAATGAGCAAGTAGCAGGGTTATAAAAGGAGGGGAGAGAAAAACGCCAGAGCTCGTTTACATTTATTAAGGACCTGTAAAAAACAGCCGGTGCCACACGCAGCTGATGGATGAGGCCGAAAACCTGCGGATTTCTGCAATGTCTAAATTGTTCCTGTTTCTGAAAACACTTTCCTCTCCTGGCACGTAACACTAATGCTGTGCAGGGAAGCAAAGGGGATGTTTATGGTGAAGAATTTATTTCCTTTCCATTAAATAACTATAGAAACATCTTCCAGAAGTCTCCTGGCAGACAAAGATGTCAATGAGGACCTGGGATTGTTTTCAGTGTTAATGTTTCCTAAAGTTGTGGTGCATCCTGATGGGGAAATAGATGGATTTAAGAAGGTCTTCTTGGCCAAGTTATTTCAGCTCTTGGCTTTGCAATTTTACCCTAAAAGCAGCACCGTAACAGGGCCCTGGAGACGTCACATCACCCTCCCAGGAGAAAAAAAATATTTAGCACTATAAAAAACCCCACAAAACAGGGGGAAATATGGGAAAAACCTGATAAATCAGTTGAAATGCATCACCAGGGCTGAGCATCGCAGCAGCATCACCCAGAGCCCCTTCTGTGCCTGCTGCCCCCAGCCGGGGTCGCACGGCCGGGGGGAAAAGCCACTCTGAATTTGCTGAAGGAAAAACTGTGGTTTAGGAAATATTAGTGCCCTTTGAATGAACAAGAGATGCAGGGAGAACAGCAAGGAGGACAGGAGCTAATTGTCCCCTTTTAGGAGCCGAAGAGCTACTCCGTTAGTGTTCCCTCTTACTGGGTATGTGCAGCAGCAGCGTTTAAGCCACCCTCTCCCCACCAAAATCTTGCAAACAAGAGGATATTTTTGGCTTAGATCCTGCCCAGAGTCCTTCCTGAGCTGCAATACCCTTGCAAACTTCTGCTCTTCCATCTTAATTTTACGTCCCCTAATTAGAAGCCAGTGTCGGCTGGAGGAGAAATAATGAACTCCGCAGGATGGCCAGGAACAATTAGAAATCATCCAGCGCAATATATAAAAATTAGTTCCACTTCCTTCCCTGAGATAACGCAAGGCCGGAGTCCAACAGACCACGTTTTACTCAACTACAGGCAGTTTTACTGAATTAGGAGTCAATTTGCACAACTTCACGAGATGCAGTGGGCATAATTCCCCTGCAAAGGATGCTACAAGCAGAAGAAGTCACCAGCTCTTGAAACCAGCTCTTGAAACCACCCCAGTTCCTCGTGCTACCATTCTCAACATCTAAGACATAGATTATTTAAGAGCTCTTAGTGCTGGCCTAACTTTAGGCTCTGCTTTTAAGCCTTTCTGGCTGTAACAGACACCAGTGAGCAAGAGAGTTTCTTGCAAACCCTCTTACCAGTTTCCATCAACACTCAGGCTTAAAAATGCTGCAAACCCCAGGCTGGTACCTGCCTGGCGTGCACACAGCTCTCCCTCTTTTAAATTGTAACCTTCAGAAAGGGAATTAATAAATATGCATATTTATTAATGCTGCTGCTTGTGTTCCTGCCCTCAGTTTCTTGAAATAGAGGATGTACCTACTGATTTTCAAAGTGTCAGTTTAGTGCAGGTCATTCCCTGCTTTTGACAATCCTGTGTGTTTTTTGGATGGTCCAAGGTGAATCTGGGGCTGCCAATGGCTGAGCTGGGACTTCCCATGTGGATAAGTCACTTACTCAGTCTCTTGCAAAAATAAATGGTCCACGTGTGCTTTAATTGCAGGAGAAGAAAACCCGGAGTGAGATTATAACCTTACGCTCAAGTCCCCCTTTTTTTTTTTTTTCATTACAAAAAAATTAAGCTTTAATTTAAAAAGGAAATCTAATATATTCTTCTAAGGTAAGATAAGCTTCCAGGAGGCGGCCAGAGGCACGCCTGCCTTTCCGAGCGCCGCGGCCGCGCGAGCTGAACTAACAAAGGGAGGAAACCGCCGCTCCGGAGCGCAAGCCACGCCGGCACACGGATCCCCTACAACTTGCAAGCGCGTCCCACTTCTGGTTTAGAAGTGTCTTCCTGCCCGCCGCAGGCTCATTTAGGTGGTGCAAGAGCCATCCGCTCCCCAGGGACACACCAGCCACTCTGCAAAGGCAATGCCTGGATCCGGCTCCTTCCACCTGGGTATCCGATGGGGCAGGGGCCGGAGCAGATGCCGGTCCTCCTCACAGTAAGCGGGCTGGTATGGCCTCTTTGCTCTGCCACCACGGCTTGGAG